CTGCATTTTCCTTTTTAGTATCACAGCAGCCAAAGTGAAGTTTCATTGATTTTATTGTTTCAGTTTAATCACTTATTTGCTTAAAAGTTAGTTTTTAACTAACTTTTGGTTCCATTGATCAGAATTCAGAAAATAATATGGGCATATAATTTTTCTTCCAAAAGGCAGTGAGTTGACCCATTCTAAGGTGTCCTTCCAGGTGTATTTTTTTGCCCATTCTCTCATTTGTGCACATTCTCCCTCTTTTTCTCTGCCCCTCTGTTCCTGGTAGCTCGGATGGTAAAGAATCTACCTGCAATGCAGGAGACCTGGGTTCAACCCCTGGGTCGGGAAGATCCCCTGGAGAAGGGAATCGCAGCCCACTCCAGTATTCTTGCCTGGAGAATTCCATGGACAGAGGAGCCTGGCAGGCTAGAGACTATAGGGTTGCAAAGAGTCAGACATGACTGAGCGATGAACACTACTACTATTAGATTTTTTGTACTGCACCTCACTTTTTCATTTAATGATATAGGGTGATGATGCATTTAAAGTGTAAGTCCAATCACTTTACACCCTAGCTTAAACCCGTTTTTTGGATTGCCATTACTCTTATACTCAATCCCCAGCTCTTTAAAATGATAGCCCATGGACTACATATGGTCTTCAGAAATGTTTTTTATGGCTCACTTAGTGTTTTGTAAAATTCTAATTCAAGCATCATCAGACTGGCCATGCCTTATTTGGTTTGCTACAGATCCCACCGTCCTCTGTTTGTACTTACTTACTTCACATTCAAGGTCACTGTCTCAAGGAAGCTATCTTTCCCACCCCAAGTTTAGCCAGCCTTGATAGATGTTTTCCTGACTCCTTTTCTTCTCTGTCACAGCAGTTATACTTGTAGAGACTGTATATTGTCAATTCTAAAATTTGCATTTTTTTGCGTTTTAATCTTTCTAAACCTGGTAAATGTCTTACAACGCACAGTGACTTAAAATTAATGGTGCAGCTTGCGATTCATGGAACTTTAAATTTGATGAAACAAGATAAGTAATTACCTGTGAAGACGTTTATGTATCTGTCTCTCTCACAAGAGTTTAAGTGGTCTGAGAGTTGGGTATTACTGTCTTGTTCCTCTATATCTGCAGTGCTTGCAGTGTCTGGCTTATCACCAATGCTCTGTAAGCACTCATGGGCTGAATGAATGACTGAGGGTGTAAAATAGGACTTTGTTATATGGATCCTGTATTGCGCGCTCTCAGAATTTTAATTTTGCAGGATTTGGTGAGTTCACGTTCTTTCTTTTTTTTTTTTTTTTAGAGCTTCCCGAGTTGCCCTCTCCCCCTCAATCTTTGTCTTACAGACTGAAGACAAAGTCTTCTTTGCTCACCATATCTTCATGGAGAAACCCCTTTATCCTTTTGTGGAATTTCCTTAGTTGTCTCTTGGAATTTTGCAGTTGTCTGGATTGTCTTGGCTTAGGATAGCATAGTCTTTTCTGATTCATTTCTTGTCCCCTTATAATTCCCTGTTTTTTATTAGTACTTTTGTTTATTGGGCCAATCAAAGTGGTATTCAGAAAGAATGATCCTCTGTATCCTTCAAGTCCTGCTTAAAGTACTAGACCTTTAAGGGTATCTAGACCTATAGGGTCTGTGGGCATGTGCAGGCACTTTGCAGAACAACTTCGAAAGCAAATACAGTTGATTTTGTGAAAATTATCCATTCCTAGCCATACTTTTTTCTTTCTCTAAATTATATGCTCATTTCATTCAGTAAGATTGAATTTATTCACAAGTACAAGAAAAGGTGATGCCAAAAGCAGAATGTAGAGTGTAAGCATTGCTAGTATATCTTGAAAACATGTTTGTTTTGGGGATTCTGTAGGAGAAAATAAGACAGAGAATAGGCATCCCAACTCTTATTACCTGAATGCTCTTATTATCATTAACTTAGATCCCTGTTTACCCCAAATCATCATAAAAGTTAATATAAACTTTTCTGTATTACTATTTTGACTTTGGTTATTAAACTTAGAAAAATCTGTTGGCCCACACATTCTTTTCTTTAATAGAACGGTGATGTGACCTTAACAATTTTTGAAAATGAGTTTATTGCGTTACTTTCCAAGAGCTTAAGTAAGAAGTCAGCCTTTATAATCTATACTCAGAGTATCATTTGTATGATTTTCCCCAGAGACATCATATTTCTCTTTCCAGCAGTGAGCTTCTGGCTGGCTTTCCTGCTCTCTTGCATGTTGATGACATCTTCATTCCACAGTCTCCCCGCCCTGCCTTCCTTCCTGCCAGTCCGGCCTTCCCAACCCACCAGAGCTGTGTTGCCTGAAGACCTGCTGGTTTCCCTTTGCTTTATCTCTTCCGGATTAGTTGTAAATGGGCTAAGTAAGAGGAGTTTTACCTTAATCTCTTGACAGCACTGGTGTTTTGTTTTTTAAGAAAGAGCCAAAACATAAAACATTTCTCTTTATCTTTCAATATGTCGTTTAGAAGTCACAGCCTCTGTGCATTCAAAGGTTTTTTTGAAAGTCTAAAATGTGTGCACACATTTCATATTGGTGATACACTTTTGCCCCAGAAGTTGAAACTATACACAAATTTTATACATGAAATATAGACATAAATATGTACATGCATGTGTCTGTAGGTGCGTTTATAACTTTCATGTTTATGTATGAGTTTATACACACAAAAATCTCTGCACTAGCTGTGAAATGTCCTTTCTATTTTTGCAACACAGCTATTGAGTAGACACAGAATTGGAGTGTGGTCAGGAAAAAAAAAAACTGCCCTGGAAGTCAGAGCGCTAAAGCTTCCAGCTTAGCTGTGTCCTTAACCAAATGTGTGACCATGAGCAGTTATTAGACTGTGAGCAAATTATTAACCTTCAGCTTTATTTTTCTTTTTTGGTTATAAGAGAGGATAGAAGTGGATCAGTTGTTCTCATCTTTATATATTAGAAGTACTTGGGGGGAACTTTTAAAAATGCAGATGCCCAGACCCTACCAAGAGATTCTGGTATTTCAAAAAAAATCTCCCCTGTGAGTCTATTTTGTATTCAGGGTAAAGAACTGTCCACTAGACAAACTCTCCCTTGGTCTGTGAGTCTCTTTTTTTAAGTTGATACTTCTCCTTCCTAAGACAGGCCAGGCCAGGCCAACTGCATGGGCCAATCCAGAGCCCAGCAAGATAAGCTGTTCCTTTGTTGAATTCACCTTATACATGTGATTATTACAACACTCAGGGGTAAAGCGTCCTTGTTGTTGCTGTTGCGTCACTCAGTCATGTCTGACTCTTTGTGACCCATGGACCGCAGCATGCTAGGCTTCAGTGTTCTTCACCATCTCTCGGAGTTTGCTCAAACTCCTGTCCATTGAGTCAATGATGTCATCCAACCATTTCATCCTCTGTTGCCCCCTTTTCCTCCTGCTCTCAGTCTTTCTCAGCATCAGGGTCTTTTCCAGTGAGTCAGCCCTTCACATCAGGTGCCCAAAGAATTGGAGCTTCAGCTTCAGCATCAGCCCGATGAACAGTTCTTGCACTATCTCACTCAAATCCTTCCGATGACCATTTTATATTTTACCAAGGACTAAATTGTGGATTTAGATGTTCTATACTTGCCCACAGTCAAAAGTAATAGTCAGCCCTCTGTATCCTTGGGTTCCATCTGCAGATTGAACCAACCACAGATGAAACATATTGGGAGAAAAATTCTAGAAAGTGCCAAAAACCAAAACTTGAATTTGCTGTATGTTGGCAACTATTTACATAGCACTTAAATGGTATTAGGTATTATAACTAATCTAGAGATGACTTAAAGTATTCAGCAGGGTGTGAGTAGATTATATTCAAATACTGTGCCATTTTATATAAGGGACTTGAGCATCAGCAGATTTGGGAATCTACAAGGGTTCTGGAACCAAACCCCTCTGGATACCAAGGGATAGCTGCAGATAGTGGAGTTTAAATCTTGGCAATCTGAATCACTAAGTCATGCTGTTATTACTGTTAAGATTATTGTTTCCACTGTCCTCATTTTACAGATGAGGAAACAGAGACACAGAGAGATTGTGTAACTTGCCTTAGGTGACCAAGCTAATAAAAGGCAGAGTCAGGATTTGAACATAGCTCTTTGTGATTCCAAAGCCCGAGTTTCAAGCTCCGTGACTGTGTACTCTGTCGCCTCCCACTCTTACCTTATCCACTGCACCCTGGCTGTGCATTGTGCCTCTCTTGGGCCCACCCTGAACACTAATTCTTTCTTTTTTTCTTGCTGTTCCTGTGTTCAAAAACAGTCAGTGTCTGTTTCTTAGACCTAAGGTCTTTTGTTTATTTATTTGGACATTAAAGGCCCACTGAGGTCTGCCCCCTGCCGCCCTTTTATTCCCACAGTGCCGAAAACCCATGCTGTGCCTTGTCGGCCTGATTCTGCGCCCTCCCACCAGCATGCCAGACTTCTGTCTCCAGGCATCTTTCATGGGGTTGCCTTCATCCTTCAGCCAGTTTTCCTTGAAAACCTGTTTTGTGCTGACAGGATCGAGTGGAAGGCCTGAAATCCCGAGGGCCTGAATCTCCCTTCTCTGCTCAAAGCCCCTTTTTCGGGGAGCCCTCCTTCCTCTCCCTGTCTCCTGTTGTGCCTCCCGTCTCAGTGCTCCCCACATCTGGGCTACAGTGTGGAGCCTCATTATGGAGTCTTTTATCTCAGGTCATAAGAAGTAACTGTGAGGGCAAAGACCATCTATGAAAATCTTGAGCAGGTAATCATTGCTTAATAAATAGACACTGAATGAGTTCATTTTGGATAATTGTGCTTTCCCCTTCAAATCAAACTATCTGCTCTTATATTTATTCTGAGTCCAGAAAAGCCAATTTTTAAAATACAGACTTACAGGAATTTTTTTAGACATGTTTGTTATTATGACTTCTAGGAATTTTTTAGAAGCTTGTGCTTTGCTTATTTGATGGGCAAATAAAACTGATCTCAAACTTTTGCTGTCCTCCCAGTAAATGTCCCCTCAACGGTCATGGAAGCCATGTGCAGACAGGATGCCCTGCAACCCTTCAACAAGAGCAGCAAGCTCCCCCAGGCTCCCCAGCAGCGCTCTGTCGTCTTCCCCCAGACTCCATGCAGCAGGAACTTCTCCCTCCTGGATAAGTCAGGGCCCCTGGAATCCGGATTTAATCAAATCAACGTGAAGAACCAGCGAGTCCTGGCGAGCCCCACCTCCACCAGCCAGCTCCACTCGGAGTTCAGTGACTGGCACCTCTGGAAATGCGGGCAGTGCTTTAAGACTTTTACGCAGCGGATCCTGCTACAGATGCACGTGTGCACACAGAACCCTGACAGGTAACCCCACCTCTCGTGGCTCACAGGGTGTGTGTGCTTGTGAGACTCACTGCTTGCCTTCCTGTCGCCTACTCCAGCCACACCTGGGGGGAAATCCTGCAATCAGAGGTCTGGAAGGCTGAGAGTCACGTGAGGCGCTTCTTGGGCTTCATTGTGTAGAAGGGCTGCATGAACAGGGGCTGCAGAAAGGAATCTTCTGTCACTTTCCAAACAGCTCTGCCTGAGTCTAAAGGGAGGGAAAGTAGAAGGCTCAGACTTATGAATATCATAGGTGGAAAAATGAGGTCAGGATAATTAGAATCCTCTCTGTCTTCCAAAGATAATATAGCTGCCCGCTCTGCTGCTGTCACAGTCGTTTCAGGGTTCACCTCCAGTGTGCCGTGGGTATGAACTTAATTAAGTACTAAGAGGTAATGAATTGGAATTTTTTGCTTAGTACTATTTTTCTTCAGAGCATGCAAACCCATAAATCCTGCAAAGCTGTCAAAAGGAAATACCTACTCTGCTAGTGATGTGGAGGAAAACAGATGCCACTTATTCAATAAACTAATATCCACACAGAAGAAAAATGTTGACTAGATACCTCGGAGTCAAAGTTGGTTTGAAAGTTTGTCAATAAAGAATTTTATGGCCATGAACTGAAGATGAAATTTAGCTGAACAAGTGAATTAAAATTTCAGGTACTCTGATGAGTGGCACAGTAGACATAATGGAACTATTATTTATGAATCAAAACGGTTTTATTCGACAGTCTTGATAGCTGGGAGTGCAAAAGACAAAAATCAAATTAATTCAGTAAGAAAGGACAGTGTTTTATCTCCCCTTCACATCCTATGAAAATTTGATTAAATGCAAACTATCTAAAAATGTTTTTAATATAAGGGCAGAAAGTAAATTTTGGAAGTAGAATAGGAGACTCCAAAGCAGGACTCCTGAATTAATTTTCTTAATTTAGCCACTGGTTAACCTTAAGCCACTCAGCACTCCTTGCCTTAAGATATATGCACCCAGCTCTCCCCTGTTAGCTCTGCAGGATATAGCAGTGTGCTCCAACCCAACCCAAGCAGGCAGGGAGGATGTTGGAGAGGGGGTGGATCATTTTTATTTTTTTAATTTATTTTATTTTCATTTAATTTATATTTTTTTATCTTTTCATTTCAGATAATGATCCATTTTTAGGGTACACATGCATTTTTATGTGTGTGTATGTTTTCTTTTGTGCCATGCTAGAAACCACTTGCTTGGCATCAAAGCATTGCTGTAACTGATTGATGTTGAAACATTTGTATTAAGGCCATTAAGGCAGCTGTGTCTATATCATCTTTTACCTTCAATAGGAGACCCTCCTGGTGAAAATATCAGCAGACTTCTGCATATCTTTGTAGTGTTGGCTTTAAGGGAACACAAAAGTTTTGGAAATGTTTTTCTTACTCGAGAAGGATTTTTTTTTTTTTAATTTGCCTTCCTTGCAAGTATACAGATAGCCTCAAGATGTATCTGTTCAAAGTTTGCAAAGCATTTTGGTTATTTTTTTAATATAAAAAGTGCATTACAATTTATTATAACTTTTTAAATTGAGGGAGTTTAGGTGTGCATGAGTTTAGGTGTATTCTCAGAGATTCATTGTGATCATCACAACTGAATATACAAGGTAAGATGAAATGATAGTTGAAAATTTCTGGATAGAGGAACCGAAAGCTTAGCTTTGAGTATGATGATTTCACGCTGAATGTCATATAAAACAATGAAATATGTCATGGTAAATAAAAAGATAGCAAAACAGACTGTTTTGTCTGACCTCAGTTTCGCTTCAAAAACCAAGTGTGTATTCTGGTTTGAGTTCCTGTGAAGTCTGTTCTGTCAAATAATAGTGTTAGAATTTGTAAAGCATCTATGTAATCTGTCAGACAAGTGCCTGACAAATTAGAAAACTTACAAAGTGTACAAAAGTGTACAAAATACACTTCCACGAGAGACTGTTAGGTTATTGCTGATTCCAAGCTAATCTAGAGTTACAGGCAAAAATCCAGGTGGCTTGAGACTCCTATCCTGTGTGAGACCCTGCTGGGCTTGTTTGATGCAGATATCCAGGTGTGGTTTGGCCAGGCCCTCCAGATGAGGTGAGGTAATGTGCTTGATATGCAGGTAGATTGCTGTATCTCCTTCTCCTTTCCTTTCACTTTGTTGGTGAAGAGAGGTGGTCACCATCATTCATTAATAAGTTAAAAGTAATTATTATGACTTCAATGAAGTAGTCCTTTTAGAGGCAGAGTAATAAAATACAGTGTTTCTTACTAATAACGGAGATGCTTGAATTATTCCATCACATTTGAGTTGGCTAGTGGAGATAAGGGAAATAGAGATGCTCAGTCTCCTTGACCCACTAGTTTCACTGAGATACATAATATGCTTTTAGGATGTAGGCTTGGAAGAGCTGTATGGTTGGTGTTCCAGAATCTCACATCTTTCCTGTACCAGCACATTTGGGAGTAGAAGACATTCTCTCCATTATTCTTAACCACATGAGTGAATTTCTGAAGAGGAGAAATATACAGAACTAAAGTGGAGCATCAATTTGTGCATAGTTGTGAGATTTGGAGTCTTTTATTGTCCACGTGGAGACTTTGAACTGCTGAATATATGTGTTTTCTTTAGTGATTGACTCCATAAATTAACTGACTTCTAGTCCTTGGCAGTTTGTGCCCATTCAGCCCTATACAGTGAAAAAACTTAGAACCTGCCAGTCAGAAACCATTTCCCTTCTATTTGAAAAATGCAAATGCTTTTATTTTGATAGGAAAATCTTGCTAGAACTAGAGGCAAGAAAGGGAGACACAGAAGACAAAGTTAGAAAGTAAACAAGCTAGAGTTTAGTTTCAAATATGTCCAGATTTTGAAACAGGCCCCTGAATCTTAGGTCTAAAAGATTTTTCACTCAACAGACTGAATATTTGGCCATGAAACCCAAGACATTTGAACTTTCATCAAAGAGACTGTGTGTGTCTTTATTTGTGAGCTTTTTCATATGAGGGACCATCAGTAAGTCTATGACTTGATAAAAAGGAAAGAGATCTGAGGATACCCCGGATTGGCAGCCTTACTGATTTTCACTACCATGTTATTTACATTGAACACAGAAGGAAAATTCATTTGACCTGGCAAAGTAGCAATTAGCATTAAAGATAAAAATACACCCATAATAGGGTCCAGAAGCCACAGGATTGTTATTTCTTAATTTTATTGTGTTAATGTCATGTCCAACTCTTTGCGACCCCATGAACAGTAGCCCACCAGGCTCCTCCATCCATGGGATTCTCCAGCAAGAGTACTGGAGTGGGTTGCCGTTTCCTTCTCCAGGGGATCTTCCTGACCCAGGGATTGAACCCGGGTCTCCTGCATTATAGGCAGATGCTTTACCATCTGAACCACCAGGGAAGTCCTAATATTAAACATACGCCCCCTCCCCCCAAATCTCTTCTTCCCTTTTCTCAAGCTGCTGACTTTTTCTTTCATGAGTAAATTCAAAGGGAAGAAGCTGTAGGAATCTAGATCAACCTAGATATTATTTAGGGATTTCAAAAAACATTTATGGTTTAGCATAAGTTTATTCCAGGTGGTGCAGTAGTAAAGAATCTGCCTAACAGTGCATGCGATGCGATCCCTGGGTCGGGAAGATCTCCTGGAGAAGGGAATAGCAACCCACTCCAGTATTCTTGCCTGGGAAATCCCATGGACAGAGGAGCCTGGTGAGCTACAGTCCATGGGGTCACAAAGAGTCAGACAGGACAGAGTGACTAAGTGTACACACAGGCACATAAGCTTATTACCCAGGCCAGGGCAGCTTGACAGACTTGTGCTTGAACCAGGAATTAGAAATCCCCTTTCCCTTCTGTTTTTTGCTGCAAAAACTATCAAAGGTCCCACTGGGGGTAGTAGTGGTGGTCATGGGTCTCCAGAAAGGAGTAAGCAAAGCCTTCAATCACAGTGGGTTATTTTCTGATGAATATGTTCTATTTTATTCTCTGCAGAATGTCTTTACAGTGCTTATCTTTATTTTTCATCATTTTCCTTTCCTTCTTGATTGTGCCACATGGGGAAAGCTTTCCTTTAGCCTCTTGGACACACTGTCAGCCACTCACGTTTGTGTTTTGAGCATCCTTGTTTATATAATTGGATGTGGAAGTACCAGAGGGGAAGATAACTCTAGAAAGAACTGTTTGATGGGAGGAGCCTGATGATAATCCATCACCATAATAGTTGCTTTGGAATGCATTGGTGTTTTTGTTCCATTGTTTCCCCCTCCCCTACGTGTGAAGGTTACCTTCCCTCTAGCTTTCCGTATTCTCCGAGTGTCTTGGCTCTGTACTTCTGCCAGTCTCCTGAAATCCTTTTCTCCTTACGTAGCGCTTAGTTCTTTTCTCACTCAGGACAGCCTGCAGTGGCCTAAATGGCACCCTGTTTGAAGTCTCTGGGAATGGGCTTGACTGACAGGGAGCAAGGACAGAACTGAACAACTTTTGTCCTGGAGGCTTTCATGCCATGAAAGAAAAATCAAGGAAGGATTAATAATATTTTAAACCAAACCACACTTAATTTTGTTAAATGTTTCATCCTTTTCCTATGTGTACACCAAACCAATTACAGACGCAGAGTAAATGAACTGCACATTTTACTCAAGTCTTCTTTGGCAGAGGAGCCACCAATTGCAGAGAATGTCAGGGGAGGCACAAAACTGTCCTGCTGCTTTCTTTCTGCTTAGAAATTTACCGGAATTGATATATACTAACTAAATCGACCTAGGCTTTTGTTTGTCTTTTTTAGATATTTCATTGTTGAGGACGGAGCACCTCCTAGTTTTTCTTGAAACTTGATATTTCTGTGTTGGAACAAGTCACACAGGTTATTTAAATTAATCCAAATTAAGTAAAATAGTATTTTAGTTTCTTAGTCAGCCTAGCCACATTTCCAGTGTTCAGTGGCTGTGTGTGTCTAGTGGTTCCACTATTGAATAGTGTAGATACAGAACATTTCCATCATGGAACAGCATTGCTAGGTATCTCAAGTAGTGTTTAAAAAAAAACAAACAGCCAAAAGCTTTTTCTGGTTACTGGATATTATCACTTTGTGAGGAATGCTCGTAGCATTTGTTTGGAGAATAATAAAATGATATATGTGTATGATAACTTGGAGAGAATCAAAGTGCTTTAGAAAGGAGAGTCTCATTTAGTTGCTCAGTGACCTGAGATCCTATGAAGAGTGAAGCTGAACATGACACATGATGATGCCAGTCTTCCTGTGTTGCTTCTGCTATGACATATCAAAGGGGCGCAGAATTTGGGAATTGAAATTGATCGTATCGAAGAGTTTAATAAATTAAGACTTACGTTTTTGTTGCTGTTGATATTTTATTTCATTTTTTTCCCTTTTTAAAAATTCTTTTATTATTTGTAGAACTTTTCAAACCCCACCCTCTATTCTGAGTCTTTTTTAAAAATGGACAATTTTTAAAGTTTACTTTCCATTTATAGTTACAACAAAATATTGAGTGTATTCCCCTTGTGCAATACATCCTTAAGCCTATCTTATACCCAAGAGTTTGCATCTCCCACTCTTCCGTCCCTATACTGCCCCTTTAACCAAATCTTGCTTGAAAAGTTAATGGGAATGTTAGTCATCAGAATAAAAAGCTGAGAAATGGCAAGTGACTCTGTGCCCTCAAAGCCGTTTAGATGTAAACTGAGAGGTGAGGAGTCAGGGTGTGCTAATAAAACATACATATAGCATCTTAAATCCTGAGGTCAGTTGTTTAGAAACAAGTTGTGACATCTGAGATTCTGTAGTAGCCATGATGTTTTTCTAAGCCCTGCTCTTGGGCATGAAGATTTCATTCTGTCTTAAATGTATTCCTGTGTGCTTAGGTCAACACTGGGATGCAATCGCTGTTAAATTTACTTTTTGATCATTTCCTTTTATTCATTCTTGGGAAATACTGAAAATCCAGAGAAAGAAGGATCTTGTCTGTATTTCCTAAGGGTTCACTTTCCATATATTTCTAGGCTGAGAGAGAGGATCTGTTATTATAATGGCAAATAGAGTACACATTTTAGTACTAAATTCTACATAAAATAAGTATCTGCAAAGGTGAATGTGACAATATGGTTTAAAATCTTACTCTTCAGGGTACCAGAATTAAAGGGATATCACTTTGTTTTTTGAGATCAACTAAAGTAATTGCAGCCATGAAATTAAAAGATGCTTACTCCTTGGAAGGAAGGTTATGACCAATCTAGATAGCATATTAAAAAGCAGAGACGTTACTTTGCCAACAAAGGTCCGTCTGGTCAAGGTTATGGTTTTTCCAGTGGTCATGTATGGATGTGAGAGTTGGACTGTGAAGAAAGCTGAGCACTGAAAAATTGATGCTTTTGAACTGTGGTGTTGGAGAAGACTCTTGAGAGTCCCTTGGACTGAAGGAGATCCAACCAGTCTATCCTAAAGGAGATCAGTCCTGGATGTTCATTGGAAGGACTGATGCTGAAGCTGAAACTCCAATACTTTGGCCACCTCATGCGAAGAGCTGACTCATTGGAAAAGACCCTGATGCGGAGAGGGACTGGGGGCAGGAGGAAAAGGGGATGACAGAGGATGAGATGGCTGGATGGCATCACCAACTCGATGGACATGAGTTTGGGTAAACTCCGGGAGTTGGTGATGGACAGGGAGGCCTGGCGTGCTGCGATTCATGGGGTCGCAAAGAGTCGGACACGACTGAGCAACTGAACTGAACTGAACTGAAAGTAAAGTTTGTTCCTGTATTTCAGTTCTAGATTTTCTTGTTGCTTGGAAGTCTCAACAGTTTACCAAGTTAGTTTAAATAGTCCATATTTTAATTAGCAGGACTAGAGACAAAACTGTGGAAGACTGGCTACAGGGCACTGGCTGGTACAGACAGTGGGGGGTGGAGGTCACATGGTTGATGCTGTCTCCCCTGAGGCTGTGTCTTGGCCAGATCCTTAGGTGATACATGTTTGTTGATTATCTAAAAGCAGGAGCAGAACAGGATGGGATGTGAGAGGGCAACTAGTTCAGTCCATCCTGCTTACCAGAGCGATGAGGAGATGGAGAGTCAGGGAAGTTGGGCGACTTGTCAATTCCCACAGCTGATTAGGTTCAGAAGCTGAAGCAGGACTCATCTCCATTTCCCTCATTTGAGGCCATTCCATTCATTCAGCTGAATTGTGCAAAGTGGCTGTGCCACAGGTCATGGGATGCTTAGCAAACCTCTCTCAGGCTAGTACTGGCCAAGGTGATGTTTTAGAATCCAGTTTGCCTTTCATTGTTGTTACCTTGATATAAGAATTCAGCATAAACTCCTCTGTGGTCATTTCTTCTCTTTGGTGTGTAAATCTTTGCCACCTTGATTATTAGAGTAAGAAGGCTGGAATGACTTCTGACTACAGGAGATAAATCACTCCAACTTTTGACAGCAGAATTAGAAAAAAAGAAAAGATTAATTGGTTTTATTTAGTGGCTTATTTTTTATTGTGATAGCTATTAAAAATAGATAACCAGAGGCTAATAAATGTTAATGGTCCTTCACTATTAGAAAAATCAATTGTCAGTGGATATAGCATATATTAACAGATTATTTTGTTTATGATCTTCAGTAACATTAAAAAAAATTCACCCCAAAAGAATGACTTCTGGAGGACCCCTTAAGGTTAATGGCTACTACATAGAATAGATTTGGCAAAAGGACATTCTCATCTACATATAGTTTTAATGACTTCAGAGCTTTTTTTATCATTGTAATAAAGTGCATGTGCAATTTGTCAAGTTTGATAAACTCCTTACCAAGGCCTCTTATATATTTCTTTGAAACTTGTTTGAAAGCAGATAGATTTCTAAATGTAAGTAATTAAAATTGTATAGTATTGAGTTATTGACCAATCCTGGACTATTAATCAAGCTAAAAAATTCTACAATCAGTGCTCAGTGTGCTGAAGCCTGGTAAAATAATAGTATTTGTGTTCAGTGAGGCAAGTAGCCACAATTAAGCACTTCACTTGACAAATGAGAGGGTACACTTTATTTTGCACTTAATTGAATTGTTGTACATACTCGGTCGCTGTTGTCTCCTAGCCCTACATTTTGGTTTCTAGTCTTTGGAACATATGCATTTGCTAAAGGTAGAGCAATTAAGTCTGTTTTAGTCACTGGCTTTCTAAGCACAGCCAGAAACATTTGAGCCACAAGCCAGGGTTTCCTGAACTCTCTTGATATCACTCATGATGGATTATTAATTTTCTTAACAAAAATTTTGATAAACAAATTAGAGCCCTGTCAAGGAATGATATGAAATAGCCTCAAATAGGGAAAACTCCCCAGGTTTTATATCACTCACCAGATTCTGCTTAAGTAAGCAGAAGAACTTCTGTAGAGAAGACAGAATTTTAATCTATTTTATGAAAACCAAAAATTGATTTCCTTCTCAGGAACTGAAAAGAACATGCTCCGATAATCTTGCTAATTATCAGGTATTTGTCACAACTTCCTTCCATTTGCTTTTGCAGCCTAGTCTTCCTCCTGCAAACATAGTGATATCCTGTCATTTCTGGGCTGCTATAAATCATCACTTGCTACCAGATTAAACTGGGGAGCTGAAGTTTCAGAAAAAGACCCAGTGGATAAATATGAGTCAGGGTTGGGGGTCAGGAGATTGTAAATGGAAGTCAGGATGTCTTTTTCAAAGAAGCAGATCTGAGTGCGTGAACGTGTTGATCTGTGCGCTACCAGATAGCCACAAGTTGGGGATGTGCTGTAGACAGAGCCCAGGACCATCTAGTATCTTTTAAAACACACACGCAGCTTGCTGAGTTGCCTGCCTGTTTACCTGGGACTTAGAATAAAGTCCAATCATTCTTGAGTGACCTTGGCATCAAGAGCTTATTTCCTTTGAGGACAGTTTATCCTCCGTTTTCTGAACTGACAGAGATAATAATAACTGCTTTCCCTGAGGATTATCGTAAAGATTAAACCAGATAATTGATTTTAACGCATTTTGTAAAGTTAAAGTGCCACGGAATTACGAGAGACAATTACATATTTTCTCTTATACCATTCTCCTTCATCAAGTCTGTACTCTCAAAGCTCCCATATTTGCCTGGGGGTGGGGATCAAAATAGGAAATAGAAGTTGTGGAAATAGTGCAGTTAAGATTGGAAAGGAATATTCGTGGGGGTATTGAATGTGTCTCATCAGCTTTGTGAATTTTGTTCCTGTGGCAACAAGTATAGTAATGAGAACCCAGTGGCCCCAGCTCTATGCTTTGTTACAAAAACTGAATGTTCCAAAAACATTTTGGCCTTAGCCTCGTGATGCTAACTTCTACTGACTAATGTAGAATATAATGACCAGGTAGTGTCTTCATTTGTTTCAGACCTTACCAATGTGGCCACTGCTCCCAGTCCTTTTCCCAGCCTTCAGAACTGAGGAACCACGTGGTCACTCACTCCAGTGACCGGCCTTTCAAATGCGGCTACTGTGGTCGTGCCTTTGCCGGGGCCACCACTCTGAACAACCACATCCGAACCCACACTGGAGAAAAGCCCTTCAAGTAAGTAGCAGCTCGTGCTGCCTCCTTCCTTTCTCCTCGCCTTTCCTGAGAGCCGGCAGACAAGGTGGGCAGCGGTGCCCAGCTCAGCTGGCTGCTGGAGAAGGCTGGGTACAAAGTTAGCGTCCAGACTGCAGAATTACCTGCTGTGTAGTAGCTGATGCTGGGGAAATGAATTCAGAATATTTTTACACTGAGGCCTGGCTTGAGCTGTGCAGCCTTGAACGTGAGACCTTCTTTGTGATCTGTTTTCTCATAAATAAAATAAGGAAGGAGGAATGAGTAATTTAGAGATTCTTCCTAGTTTCTCAGGGTCTATGCCTCTGGAATTTGAACTGGGAGCCTCGCAGAGTGCCATCTGTGGCCATCTGCAAGGTGGCCACAGTTGAGAACAGCTAAATAATTGTCTCTTGGGAAATTTGAACCCTTTAAAATTCTGATGAATGATTTCCTCCTCTTTTATATGTATTAAGGAGGTTTGAATCTATTACAGCAGCCAACTGGTAGCTTTTCAACGTGCCCTTTTGGATTTCAGACTTACCATGGTAATGAAAGAAAGAAAAACAAAAACCAAACACAGGACATGTTTGAGTTCTTGAGGAGTCAAGGAATGTGGAAAGAGGTAGACAAGGGCTTTGGCCAAGGCAAGGGCACCTAAGCAAGAAACAACGTTTCTAGATATAGCACAATCATGAAAACAGAGGACATCTGAATCCTGTAAGATGGCCTTTTCATTCTCTCACTCATTCATTCATGTATGTATGTGTTCATTCATGCAGCAAATATTTATGGAGCACCTTCTTTTGTACTAGGCACACTGCTAGGCATAAGAGATAAAAAGGTAAGTGAGACTCAGCTCCCTAATCTTTGAAGACCTCATAGTTTTGGGGGAAGCCCAGTTAATAAGCAAGTATTACCACATAGGGTGGAAGGTGCAGAATTGAAAAACAGTGAGGCATGTGTGTACAGTGTTTCAGGCAGCACGGAAGTGGAGTAATCAGTGCTGTCTGGAGGAGATGAGGTTTAAGATATGTTTTGAATGCTGAGTAGGAGTTTTCCAGACATGCAAGGGAAGAAGGCTTTCTGGAAGCCCATGTGGGATACAGAAAGGCTTGGGAGTGTGAACCAGCTTGTGTGACCAATTGGTCATCTCAGAACAGGTTTTACTGTCTGTGTGATAGGCTCTTCTTTGTTCAGCCCTCTTATATCTCTCTTTGCTCATTTGCCATGATGACTTCACTTGATTAAGAAGGAGCATGAAAAGGGCCTGGATGTACAGTCTGTTTACGTTCTGTTCAGTTCAGTTCAGTTGAGTCACTCAGTTGTGTCTGACTCTTTGTGACCCCATGGACTGCAGAAAGCCAGGCTTCCCTGTTTTTCACTATCTCCCAGAGTTTCCTCAAACTCATGTTCATTGAGTCAGTGATGCCATTCAACCATCTCATCCTGGGTCGTCCGTCCCCTTCTCCTCTTGCCTTCAGGCTTTCCCAGCATCCGGGTCTTTTCCAGTGAGTCAGCTCTTTGCATCAGATGGTGAAAATATTGGGGCTTCAGCATCAGTCCTTCCAATAAATATTCAGGGTTGATTTCTTTTAGGATTGACTGGTTTGATCTCCTTGCTTCTATAGGATAAGATCGAGCAAGAAAGGAAATGATTCAGGCAGTAGGAGGCAGATCCCCTTGTTGGTCTCAGCCAGGGAGTCTCCGCAGAGTCTCAGTCCCCATGCTTTTCCCTCAGGATCTGCCGGGTGGAGCATGCGGTTGCCATGGTGCTCAGCGGGAGATGGGGCTTGGATCACGGAGGCAGAGTCCTGCTGATCTGCATCCTGCATGCCTCAGTGTTCTGCAGCTGAGGGAGAGGTTCATAAACACTCATCTTCACCCATTTCCTCATGAATCAGTAACCTTTATTCATTATTCTTAACTAATTTCCATTGTGGTTTAATTTACGATATTAATTAATAATTGAAAGTTTTCATTTTTGTCTGTGTTTGTGGGTGGGGCTTGTTTGTTGCAAAGGATATCTGGTGGGGGGACTGGATGAGGTCTAAAAATCCGGCTTGCACCACACCAGGCAGACTGTGTCCTCTGGGGCTGCCATAGCCCCGAGCAGCCCCTTTCTTTCTAGCCCACTGTGGGGACCAAGTGGGTTAGCACAGCCCTGGAGTTCCCTAGGGCAGGTGTCTGTGTCCTGCACAGTGGGCTTTGTCATTGCCCCAGGTCCTCAGGGGGTTCACAATCTCTGGCTTCACCACTGCTCTGGATGAGGGAGATGACAATGGCACATTCCCTGTGCCTTTGAGCAAGAGAGCTCTTCAAAAGCAGAGATGCAAGAGGGCCAGTGATCCTCCTGGCCCCTTATAACAGAGAGGGTAGCCAGGCAGACACAGTGCCGGGCATCAGATTGATTTTTATCTTGTTGCTGTGTAAATAGATTTTAGTAATTAATTGAAGAGGTTTCAGGGTCAGAATGGAAAATAGATTTCTGTTAATGTTAAGGTGTTACTTAAGTGTAACCTCGTTGACTCCACTCAATTTTTTTCCTCTAACATCCTGTTTTTGTCATGTTTCCGATAAAGGTGACATTTTAACTTATTTTCTTTTTATTTTGTTTTATCAGATTAATAGTTCAAGTTTATTTTATTTTATCAGATTAGTAGTTCAAGGACTTTAGTATTTGTATGTTTTTCCTTTCTCAAAGTATTCTTAGGGACCGTAACCTAATTTCATCTGGAAAAACAAAGAAACACCAGAGTTGGTTGGATTAGATTCTTTGTTCACGGTTAGTTCCTCCTGCTTCTTCTTGTATTAAGATAGCCACATGCTGTGGGGTTTTTAAAAATTTATCAAATATATGTTGCCAGGGGAGAACTGAGTGAACACTTACTTTGTAAGTGCAAGATATAAACGTCTTCTAGGAAATGGAAAGCTAAATCCTTCAGTGTATACAACCGGATTGTTCAGGATTGAACTATCCCAGGGGAATTTTGGGAATCTTCCAACCATAGCTCATGGATATCCATCCCATGGACATTTGTAAATATTTTGAAGATATCCTTTTATAAGCCTATAAAACAAACATCCAAAAAAAAGTTTGTTGCAGATTAGTCAATAAAATGGGTTTTGCCACAACAGTAAATTTTACTACTTCAACTAATGGGTATTGGCTTAAACAGTTTTGCAAAGAAGGAAAAGAATCTTGTAAAGAAGCACAACCCTAAACTGTACGCTTTGGGCAGCTTCCAAATAGATGCCCCAAAGGACTCAGTCCCCAAACTGTCCCACCCACCCCAGGGCCCGGGAGGCCTTTGCAGGATTCTCAGGGGCCAGGCCCCAGCAGGGGAAAGCCCTTTATAGGTTCTGAAATCTTCCGCTGAAAAGTGGTTTTTCAACGCAGATCAAGATTGGTGCCGTATAAGCAGTCCAGAGAAGATCTGGTATTGAGAAGATAGTTTCATTCCAGGCTTTGTCTTATGGTGTGATGGGCTGAAATCCCACTGAAAAACTCCCCTTTCCCCCTTACCCCCATGCTCAAGGTAGACCTTGAGCTTGTCAACAGTTAACCTGGGCTGTGGACTCCGAATGTGTAAGGTGAAGGAGATCATAGGAAAAGCACATTTCAAAGGATCATATACTTTCAGTTTGTACTGTGAGACTGGACTTTGTGGAGAACAAGTGACGAACATAAGATTTCATTTCATCTCACAACAATTGCCAAGCGCTTTGTTAGAAAGAGGAGGGAAGGAAGGAAGGAAAGAAGTTGTCAGTCTCAAACTTACTCTTTACAATAAGATCTCCTTCTCCTTCTCGGTTACTAAACATACACTCTCAAAATTTCAGGGAGGCTGTTCTGCCTGGAATCCATGTGAGCTGCTTGATGCCTGGCTTCTGGGCCTGGGAAGACCAGGTGTTTTCATATAATTTCTTTTTCTCCTCAGCATTAGAAGCAGGGGAAATGCTCATCACTATGTTTTTGCCTTAAGACAATTTGATTTAGTATAGAAAATAATCAAAGGATATTCCAAAAAGCATTTTATATTTTAACAAGATCTAGGCAAAATCAAAGCAAATCAAAAAAGCACATCAGCAAATATGCATAATATGCAGTAAATGTGCATTGCATCATAAGTATGAAGCAATCTGATTTAATTCAGGATGTATTTGGTAACAGGCCATAGAGGACCAGAAATAAAGCTTCCTGCATGTTTTCTGTGTAACAGAACTTGACATCATTTTACACTTCTGTCAGTTTCAGATGACAGTTGTTAAGCTCCCTCTGAACCTATAAGCCAGTCAACTATCATGTTAAGTAAAGAACAATCTCAAATCTAAAAGGAACTCGAGTGTAATTATATAAGATGCCCACATTGGTACAAAGCTGGGGACTTGCTCTTTGTGGAAATATTTGGACAACTTTCCCTTCATTGTTCCTTCGACGTTTCCTTCAAGGCTGTGACATCAGCACCATGAGGACCCCCCTGTGCCCGAGCAGGTGTTTTGCTCCTGGATCATTACCTATGTCTTTCCTTCTTCTTCTTCTTTTTTTTTTTTTTTTGCTAAGTAGCATGAAATCCAGGCTTGGAGGTTCCCATGCCCAGGCATTTGTCTGGGATTGTAATTCAGGATTAGTTCAATCCCAGTCCAGCTGAAGTCCAGCTTTGACCTGCCAGAATCTAAGTATTTACTTTGAGTCTGTCCTGATGAGTTCTATTGTCTATGAAAATGATTTGTGAAGAGATTTGTTTCTAAAATTAAAGATGATGAACATAAAACAAGGCTCTTCCTTTATTAAAAAATGGTTTTCAATCAAGCTTCCTTTACTTCCTTAATTATATAAATGGTATTCTTATAATTACCAACACACATAGGTATTAATTCTGGTAGCCCATTTTTATCCAGAAGGGGAAATTCCTAGGTAAAGGATCTAAGTTAAGGTAACTGTCTACACATCTGCACACATTTTTCACTCACACCTGGTGAGCAGATGGCCCTAGCGAAGATTTTTCAGTGATGATCTCAGGAGCCCTATAGACTTAGTAATCCTGACTATGACAACAAATGGTTCCATGAGTGTAAATATCTGGGAGGCGTTTAGGCAAACACATGAGAAAAGTGTCAACCCCCTTCGTACTGTCTGATGCTTATATATAGACATACACCCTTGCCATATACGAAGCACTACACTTCCCACTTCTGAACTGTTTATATTCTGATACACAAGATCAGAGGTACAAAAGCACAACCTCCATGACTGGTCATTCCTTATAATTGTTAAAACTCTTCTGCTCTCTTTGAAATTGATTCCAAAGTTTAAAAATTTTAAAAAAGAAGGAATATAATAATTTAAAGTTTATCAGGCAGTGAAAGGTAGTATATTTTGACACACCAATTCCAGTAACTAATCAGTTTTCTAATAAACAATCAGCAGCTCACTAGCATGTCATCAGCACTTCAGGAGCTCTGGAGAGGGGATAAGCTGCCCATGGACGTTAATGAATACACCAAAAATCATTAGCTGATCAATACTTCTGAGTTATTTTCATTGAGCTGATAGGTCTGATACATTAAAGCTGACATTATACATTTGTCAAGATCACAGTGTAGTTTTTAACAGTGGACCAGGCTGCTAAGAATATTCCCTGAAAGACAATCAAAGAAACAAAACTTCCTCATCCTGACACATCCAGCTGGCACAGGAGCCCTGAAAAATCCAAGTGTGATGGTCAAGCTCAAGTCTCCCGATGTTAAAAAAATAGGTGGGACTCCCTAATATGGATAGAGATGCTTTATTTTTATAGGTGATTGTCTTCCTAGCAAAGCACTTTGCGTACTTTACTCAAAAGGAAAATGAGAGACCCTCCCACTGGATAATGGGGCTCACAGCACGTGTGATGGCAGTGTGGACTTTCTGCTGAGGCTTCCTCTCAGCCCCACCAGTGCAGGAACCTGAGACTCAAAACTGCCTCATTTAAAAGAAGACACGTGTCTGCAGCTCTCTTCAGTACCTTTTCCTTCCAACGTTTGAGGAGAGGATATTAGGGGGAGAACTAAGGTGGCTGCTATGCCCTAGTGGGTGCTTGACCAGTGCTCCAGGTAGCCCAGACAAGCAGCCCAAGTGACAGGGAAGCCACTGTCTGTGCAGAGCTTGCTGCTGCAGTGTGTGTGTGTGCACGCATGTGTATACACACACAGTCATTGGTAACCAGCCAGGAACAACCACCACCATAGAAAAACCAGAGGGCACCATTGGATTTGTGTGTGTGTGTGTGTGTGTGTGTGTGTGTGTGTGTTTTGAAGATCGTGTAGCCATCAAGCTAGTTGGTATGTGTTGCATGGAAGATGGATTAGGTCCAAGGTCTCTAGATTAGCTATTTTATTTTTTAAGTTAAGGAGACGAGATATTCTTGAAACATGATGCCAGTTTTGTCCTTATTGGACACACCAATTCTTAAGTATGGCCCACGTGTACATTCTTTCTGCTGTGTCTGGTAGAGAGGTAAACTTGAAACACACCAACATTGATTGATTTTGAGTTTTTCCGAGTCCCCTATCCCTCTGCAAACATTTTTTAACCCTAACTTTGGTTGAGGTGCAATACTCTAGCTTTTGCATGAAAGCGGCCACTCATACCCACCTCCCACACTCACCACAGACTAATGCATTGCTTCCTCCAGTTTCCAGATTCAGGGCTGATGGCTCTCTGGCCACTGTGCTGAGGGGAGTAGAATTCCCAATTTCAAATTAGCAGCAGGTGAAATTCTATTTGTCGTCCATTTCTCTTTGGGGTTACGGAGCAGGAAACTGCAGACAAGCTGCTGCTTTGATGGCTCACTCCTAAAAACCTCTTTTTGTTCTTTATCTATTTGAACTGACAGCGATCAGAGCTGCAGCAGGGCAGGGCCCTCTGGAGAAATCACCTCCCCTGCCTATTGACAGATCCCTCTGTTCTGCATCAGCCGGGCTTTGTCCCATCACAGGCGTCCGGGCCTTGGAAGGAGCCACCAATTAAACCTCTTGAGCCGGTAAAATCTGAAGCCACTTTGGAGTGTCTGTTCTGATTAGGCAGGATGAGAGGAAGCCCATCACCCTGCGGGCCCCGCTCCCTGGTCTCAATTTTCTCTCTTGCCTCCTCCAGGTGTGAGAGGTGTGAGAGGAGCTTCACGCAGGCCACCCAGCTGAGCCGACACCAGCGGATGCCCAATGAGTGCAAGCCAATAACCGAGAGCCCAGAATCAATCGAAGTGGATTAACTGATTGACTGGTTGGAATTAAACTGCAAGGAAAGTCATGATTAAATGTCACGGACACTTAAGCAAAACCAAAGATTTCCTCGAAGCAACTTTCAATCAGTCCCAGAAAACCAAAAGCAGTAATAAAATAAGTAAGATGTTAAGAGATATTGATCCTGGTGTGGAAGTCAGACCAGGATAGAGATTATTTATTTATGACTAGGGATGAGACTCATTTCAGTGGACAGCCAACCTGGGATGGCTTACATTTCCAGGCCCACCATGTATTTGCTTTGTTTCTAAAAAGCTTTTTTTAAAAAACTGTTATTTAATACCAAAGGGAGGAATCAGATGGGCTCTTCTGCCCACAGTTGTGACTGAGAATGCACAGGGACTTGTTTCTCATTGCACCTTTTTTAGTAGCATGATTCAAGGGGACCTGTTGTACAACCCTTCTTCCTGCTGTTGCAGTTTGGCCTGGCCTCTGCCTCGGGCTGCCCAGCGGGGACTACGGATGCAGTTGCTGCAGCCTTTGCTGAGTCCGGGCCGTCTTCAGCCCCACAGGCACTCCATGTCTGTGTTTTCCACACTTACTTCTCATGCACTTTTCTCATGGCTCCTTCTATCCAGCAGCTGGTCTTGATGCAGAAGAGCCTGAAGGTGGAAGAAGATGGTTTAAAATTTAAAATTCAAGTGGAAAAGAAAAATGGGGACTTAACCGTGTCCTGTCAGGATTTCAGAAACATTTAAAATGTATGGAGCTTCATAATACAGTATATTGTTCCAAAGCAGCTAGTTGAGAAAATTTTGTTTTCATGTTTTCAGTAACATTTTAGCGTAAAAAAAAAAAAAAAAAAACACGAAAATAAAGTACTTCAGTGAGAGGCTGAATATATGATATTAAGCTTCCAGTAATTTTTTTATTGTGTCTATGAAAGCATTGAATATGTGGCAAAAGTCATGCCAAGCCCCACCGTCAAGACCATTCTAGGCATCTTCATCTTTCTTCCTCGTACCTCCAAGGGGAAGCCTTAGATGCCCTCCTGACTGTGGGGGAGTGTTTCTGCAAAAATAGGTGAAAATAGCTCAGACAAGGAAACCTTGAGAGGAGGAGCCATGCAGAGGGTTGTGGTTAAAACAGACTGCCCGGGAAGAGCTAATTTTATCAAGAGGAGTTACCTTCTCATCCCCTCTGGCCCTTGATAATATTCTTCTTTCAGCATTGATTCAATGAGAGAGAAAGGAGTATGTGCACAGTTTCACTGACCTTTGATTGAGTGCTAGGAGAGTGAGTGTCACTTCCGCTAGCCTTTGGGCAGTTCAGCAATGGTACTCAATCAGATTGGGTCCCATCCCACGCAGTGATCCACCATCAGGAAGAACTGACAGCTCTTGCTTATAGGCCTTTAGCTCCTAGCGACATTGGAGAGACTGAGTCTACCTTGATGGCCAGTGTAAATCTGAACAGCTTAGAGCACACACCAGCAGCAGTCTTTGTAGGTTTCTTGGTCATGTGATAGCAGGACACACCCTTTTAAGGAATTCCTTATCTTTTTAGCCTTCCCATTGTCTTCCTGTAACAAAAATACAAGACCCATAACTGAACTGGTCACTGAAAGGCAAGGATATCTGTGGTTTGGTTTAATCTGTCATCATGTATTTTGTTCTAAGAAATCTTCCTTCCCTTTTCATTTCACTTTCCCCATCCCTTAGCACCCATTCTGCCACATTTAAAATGGAGTGAAACAGGGCCTCACTGATTGTGTTTGTAACTTATTTATATACGTCTCAAAATAATCTTTCGTGGAGGAGTTTGGCTAATTCTGACCTCCACTGTCCAATCTGAAGTCATTCACATTTCCCCCCATTTCTTGTTGGCTCCTTGTCATAAAAGTAGTAAGTAATCTGTGCAACTGTGTTGCTGTTTCTGATGGAAAATACTTTCTCTGTTGGATTGGAATGTGTTGAACTTTTATAGTTTCTTGTGCTAAGTGATGGAAACATTTGACAAAAACATGTGCCCTTGGGAAGGGTGGAAAGAATTATGTAGTGGTGCTAACTGGAACTCTGCAAGGCAATAACACACTGGCTACACTGATGAGCAGGCTGTTCCATTTACTCAAGTTGAAACATTTGGTTATACTTTTTCAACATGATAAGGAACTCACCTGTTTGTTTCTAATATTGTTTTCCATGAGAAAAACCAGTTCTGCCTTTTGTCTCACTTCATAAGTTTTACACAGTGCACCCCACCCAGTGCCCGTGAAATCCCATGCGAGTATGGGAAGCCGTCTCTCTGCCCTGTAGTCATGTCGTCAGAGTCCCCATGACCGTGGTGGTCTCTGCCAGTCTAGTGGCTTTGCCAACTGATCCCAAACTCCCACTTAATATGGTGATGACCTCAATACTGAAAGATTCTTCTAACTTTCTGCTCATGTAAGCATCTTTTCCTCCTTTATAAGTAAGGGACATTTTGGCCATTGTCTTTTCCACCAAATTTAGCCTGAAAATATTTGCCACTTAATAAATAGAAAACTGGGGACATTCAGGATTTTCACACTGCTGAGCCATTCCTGGCTTCTAGCAGACTGGCCTTGGCTATTGTTTTACTGGTAAGACAGGCCTACAAATCCTACTGCGATTGACTTGGAGCCCTGAAGCATATACTATCGCTTGGGTCCTAAATGCTTTTAATCAAAGTATGTACTGGGCAGCAGGGTGGTGGGGGGAGTTTCTCCTTAAAATGCACCAACAATTGCTTTAGCCTTTTCTGTTTAAAATTAACAGATATTCTCTAGGGACACTGCAAATGGATAGTAGATGCTGCAGTCATCAAGAGTCTCTAGTTTTCCTTATTTGCAACTTCCTAATCATTGTATAGAGAGAAGACAAACTCAGAGTCATTGTGGAGAGGGGAGGATATCTAAGATGAAAAAGGGAGACTCTCTAACTGAATCTGTGTTTGACTCTTGAAGCAACCCTTCTTGCTCCTTTCTATCATTGGAGATGGAGTTATTTTTTTCCAGAATAAGACATGCCATTTCAGCATATGACTGTTTGGCTAAGAGCCTAAGCTAACAAGTAATCCTAGGTGGGTATGCAGATAGCACATTTCTAGAAAAGTCTCAGTAACTTTAGATAAAGCCAAATATTTTCTCTAGGAAATGTGCATGATTTTTTTATAAGATATGCTTTGCATTTTGGTTGTCTATCTTTAAAAATGACTTTTTAAAAAGAGGAGATATGCTTTTATAGAGTTCTTAGGATGATTAAGACTATAAAACTAAATCTTGTATAATTTATATAATTTGATTCAATTAGTAAATATTTATTGAATGTCCATTCAAATATAACCTTATAGGGGGGAACTGTGTAATAGAGGTACACATGTGTCCTCACACGGCTTACAATTTATTGGATTGTACTTTGGGAAAACTTCACTCTGGGCAAGATAGACAAAGATTTACTAACATTTACCAACTCATCCATTTTTTTTCATCGGTTGATTCATTGTTTCATCTATTCCTCGAGTATGTATTGAACTCTAGTTTTGTATAAAGACCCCATTTTAGGTGTTTGCTGTAAGGAGTTTTATTTGAATGACTTGATGAGAAAATAATATCTTCCTCCTAAGTGGCTGGCTAATAGCAATAGATCTTTTATTGCTTTAGACTATTGTCTCCGAAGTTACAGAGATTGCTACAACTGGGAGAATCAGAGAGATGTAAATTCAGCTGGTGACCAGAAGGTAGCAAGTTTCAAAACAGATTAAGATATACAACTTGGTTGTCTTTGTCTGATCAGCCCAGCTGTTGTTTCTTAGCAACAATCTCAAGACACCAGGATTAGGGTCTGGCTCTTAGATTTTTATGAGCCTCTTGCAGTGATAAGGTAACAAATGGGGACAGGGCTGGAGCTGCTCAGGACAGGAGCTCTGCAGACCCTGTGTGGGTCTGCGTGGCCTCATTAGTGTCAAGCCTTGGCAATATGGTCCCTGTCCCCTGTGTGTGGCTGTGGTGCTCTCAGAGGTCGGGACTCCTGATTTGCACTCACAGGCTTCAGAGAGCCCTGTCAGGTGAATGTTCACTGCTGGTTAAAGATAGCAGTTGTTTTGATAACTGTTTTTGAACCTCACTATCAAGCTCTTCTTAAAGCGCTAAAACTGGAGTATCTTCCTCTTTAGTGGCACCACCTTCAAGGCCCCAGGTATCTGGTACATTATTGCAAAACCATTTGCTGATAATTGGCTCTGACTTGTGCATGTAAGAAACTAATATTTCATTGCTTTTTGTAGTAAAGGTATCATCTTTACTGTTACTTGTTTTGTGCTGATTCTGAAAATCAAATGTGGTGCCTGTTGAGCTGTTTAAATTGGGAAACGTGGCACATCTCATGAAGCAGGGTATTTCCAGAACAGCATGGGGTCATGGGTCCTCCAAGCAGGCGCAGGAGCCTTTGTTGAGGAGCAGATGAATCGTTCTCATATTAGGGCTACATATGCCTCTAGAAACGAGGCCAAGAACAACAAACTAAATAAACACATTTTTGAAAAAGCGAGTTTCAATTTTCCTTCCTTGATGTGAACTTAATTTTATTTCCCATAGCCTTTGCCGATTCTTGACACCAAATCCTGAAAGTTACTGAGAGAGGTGCTTCTTTAAGTGATAACAGTAGGTTCCAGATATGTCACTCATTTATCAAATTCCTTTCAAGATGAAGAGGTTTGGAGACATTGTATGAAGTGACTAGGTGGATGTTTAGGCCCTTATCCACCCAGGGACTGAGGCTTTCCCCATCGCTAGTGCTTATCTGAACTACCAGAATATAACAACAGAATCCCAGGAAAAGCCACATGTTTCAAGACCTCCTCAAGATTATATTCTACAAATCCAACAATCAGCTGTCCCAGACAACTGACCAAAGAGAGCCAAACTGAAAAAAATATTGCTTTATCTGGGGAAGCTGTGCCACAAATGTTAAGCCTGTAATCCATGATCATGTTTAACATTTAAAATATTTAT